AAGTTGTGGTATATGAATATAATGGAATACTATCATGCTGTAAGAAATGCTGAGCAGGTGGATTTCAGAAAATCCTGGAAAGACTTATGTGAACTGATGCTGAGTGAAGTGAGCAGAACCAGGAGAAAGTTGTACACAGTAACAGCAACTTTGTGAGATGACCAACTTTGATAGACTTAGCTCTTCTCAGTAATACAATGATCTAAGACAATCCCGAAAGATTCATGAAGGAAAATGCTATCCACAGCCGGAGAAAAAGCCATAGAGTCTAAAAGCAGATCGAAGCATGCTGTGTTCTCTTTTTTCTTTGTTTGTTTTTTCTTTCTTGTGGTTTTTCCCTTTTGTTCTGATTCTTCTTTCACAACATGACTAATGTGGAAATATGTTTGACATGACTGTACATGTATAACCTATATAAAATTGCATGCTGTCTTGGGGGAGGGGGAAGGGAAGGGAGGGAAGGAGAAAAAAATTTGGAACTCAAAATCTTATAAAAGTGAATGTTGAAAACTATCTTTACATGTAATTGGAAAAAATAAAATACTATTAAGTGGGGAAAAAAGAGACAGAAAGCAGGGAGGAATGGATAGTAGCAAGAAGCTGGTGGGGGCAAACAGCTGGATAGGATGTGACATATGGTGTGGTTTGGGGCCAGTTGGATAGAATGGATAACTTGAGTTGGCACCAATCTGGTGCCAATGTGAGTCACTAATCTGGACAATTTAAGTTCCAGAGTAAGAGTTCCAAAGCTCAGTGAATTGAGCTCCCTAGGGCATGGTCTTGGGAGGGTTCAGTAGTTTGGTGGATTGGCAGGACAGATGGCAAGAAGATGACCAGAGAGGATAGTTGAATAGGCTGTGAAGCATTATTGAGTAGATGGGTTATCATGGTCAGATCGGCATTTTAGGAAAATCACTTTGGCAGTTGTATAGAGCATAATCGGAGTGGGGAGAGATCAAAGGGAGGGAGACCAATTAAGAGGCTTTGGCAACAGCCAAGTCAAGAGGTGATAAGGGTGGTGTCTATGTGAGTGAAGAGAGGGGACTTATGTGAGAGGTGTTGTGGAGTTAAACAAAATTTGGCAGCTAACTGGATATGTGTGGTAAGTGAAGATTGTTTGGGAACCTAGGAGAGAGGAAAGATGGGGTTACCTTTAGCAATAACAGGTAAGTTCGGAAAAGGAATGGTGAGGAGAAAAAAGATAATGAGTTTTGGATGTGCCTATAGGATATCTAATTTGATATAATGAGTTTAATGTGCCTATAGGATATCTAGTTCAAAATGTCTAATAAGCAGGTGGTGATGTAAAGGCCTGGAGCTCAAGAAAGAGATCTGTAGATCTGGGAGTCATCTGCATAGAGGTCATAATTAAATTGATGGGAGCTAATGAGGTCATTGAGATAGAGCATGTAGAGAGAAGAGAGAAGGGGGCCTAGCATGGAGCCTTTATTCCACAAAAAAGAGAAGGAACAATGAGTGTCAGAGAGAGAGAGCTCGCAGTGTCACCAAAATCCAAGGAGGAGAGAGTATTCAGGTGAGGATACTCTCAAATATTGTCAAATTCTGCAGAGAGATCAAGAAGAATGAGGGCTAAGAAAAGGCCATTAGATCTAGTAATTAAGGCATCATTGGTGATCTGAGGGAACAGTTTCAGTTGAGTGAAATAGTGGAGGATGTAGAACTTGAGGAGTGGAGATGTTGAGTGGAGATGGCTTTTTTTCAAGGAGTCTGAGAAAGGGAGGAGAGGTAAGTATAGGATGGTAGCTTCAAAAGATGGTACGGTCTAGTGAGGGTTTGGGTTTTTTTAAAAGACGAAGGATATTTGGGCATATTTGTAGGTAATAGGGAAGGAACCAGCAAATGGGGAGAGACTGAAGATTAGCAAGAAAGTAGGAACAGAGAGAAATTGTTGGAGATAGGAGGGGACAGGAGCAAGGGTACATATAAAGGAGATGGTCTGGGTGAGAAAAAGGGTCACCTCTTCATAAGAGACTGGATTGATGGAGGGAATAGTGGGTGATGAAGCAAGCCTTTGTAGATGAGAAGGAAAGAAGAGAAGTTCATGGTGAATAACCTTGATTTTTTCAGCACAGTATGAAAGGAGGTCCTCCGTTGACCTTTTGTTTCAAGGTAAATGGTCTTCAAAGAGGAGGTAACAGAAGCAGCCTTTTACTGGGCTGCAATGGTAAATTTTCAATAAAACCTTGAATTGACCTCTGAATTTCTATGGGCTCTTGTACTCACCCTTTCTATTCTCCTAGGAATGATAATTGTCTTTGTCTGCCAGACATCATAAAAAACTAAGCTGCAGAAAAATGTGACTGGGAATTACCAGATGTTTCAGTATTTTTTTAAAAAAATGAACAAAATGCTAACGCTGCTGAAAATTCAGCCCTTTGTATAAACATTTGCTGTAGAACACCCAGAGGAAGACAAGTTATACCTGTTTTAACTTGGCTCCACCCCACTTTGAGGCCTTGATAGGGTCATGTCTTTTAAAATATAAGGTAGCCATCATAGCAATTCATAAGAACATCCACAAGAGGTCAGCCTATTCTCCATGGCTGAATCTCATTAAATATAATCCGGTCACTAATAAATTGGATTTGTTTTGTTTTGTTTTGTTTTTGGGGGGTGGGGAGAGGCAGGGAAGAGAAACATGCAAAAGAAGATGGGTAGGGATGAGTCAAACATTCGCATAAGGAAAAATGACTTTTCCTAACCTCCCAATGCATTTCTGAACACAGTAGGCCATCTTAAAAAAACTCCATGGCAATTAGAAACAGCAGATCTCAGCCAGGAGCAGATTGTGGCCACCCACCTCCTCCCACCCCATCATTTAATATTTGTTGAGAGCGCACACATTGCTAATATCCTAGAACATCCAAAGTTCTGAATGTTACCATACGTGAGCTGACATTTCAGTAATGGATCAAGCCAAGCTTCCTGGCAAAGTTTTATTTTATCCTCACCCCCTGAAAATATCTCCTACTGGTCATTTGCCTTGCTGGGCCTGGATAACTCCTGTGCAGTTCAGAGAATTGATCTTCAGAGGCCACACCAAAATAGGGTAGGGAAGTACTCCGTTAGTTCCTGGAGATTATCCTAGCTTTGGGGGCGCTTCGAGAGGCTGCTTCCTAAAGCTGCTTCTGATGTGTGATTTGCAACATTAGCTTTTCTCTCAGGACACTGTCAGCTTTGGTGATCACAGAATTTAAAAGTTTAAGGAAAAAGGATAGATATATCTAAGCAAACCCATGGAGATTAGACACACTCCTATCTTAAAGCCACTTAATCTAGTTGTTGAATTGTGATCTATATTTTATCCAGTCTTGAAGGCCTAGTTAATAGTCTTACTTGGCTTCTAGACCCAATCCAACCACTAGCATCTTGGGAAATGAAGTATTTCCTAACTCCAGGCCTCTTTAAATAGCAGTATCTATCTATCTCTTGTTGTCATCCAGCTGACGTTGTGTTCAAGCCAAGCCTGCCTTATTGGGGGTAACTCATACCCCATATTCTCATTTCCACCTCCTTCCCTTTGCTGAAACAGCCCTTTAAGGCCCTTTTCTCTTCTTCCTCCATCTCAGTAACCTCATCGGCTCCCATGGGTTTAAAGATCATGTTTGTGCAGAGGACTCCCCAATCTTCCTGCCCTTGAACTTCAAGCCCACATCATCAATTACCCATAGGCTATCTCAAACCGGACGTCCCAGAGATATCTTAATCTCAGCATGTCTGAAACTGACCTCATTATCTTTTCCCCTGAAACCTCCCTTCTTCCAAACTTCCTTATTTGTCAAAAGCACCACCATCCTGGAAGTCTCCCAGGTTCATAATCTGGGCTCCCTCACCCCGTATATCCAATTAATTGCCAATTCTTGCTGTTTCTACCTTCACATGTCTTGCATCTGATCCCTTCTCTCCACTCACAAAGTTACTACCTTAGTTCAAATCCTCACTTCTCACCTAGATTTCGACGTCTTCTAATTGGTCTCCCTGCTTAGTCTCACCCCACTCGGTCCATCCCACACTGTTACCAAAGGGATTTCTCTTAAACACAGATCTGACCATGTGACTTTCATATTCCATTAATTCCAGTGGTTTCCTACTGCCCCCAGATCAAACATAAACTGTTTAGCTTTCAGAGTCCTACAGGACCTGGCCTTCACACATCTTTCCAGCTTCACTGGACATTCCTCCCCTCCTCCTACTCTATGATACAGCCACACTGACCTTCTGTCTGCTCCTCACAATCGGGACACTCCATTTTTCATCTCCCTGTCTTTGTACTGGACATCTCCCAGTCTTCTACCTTTGAATTGCAGCTCAGGCACCATTACCTATTCTAAACGAGACCTTTCCAGATTCTCCCGAATCTGCTAGTCCTTCCCTCTCAATTATTTATATTAAATATTTGTATTTATATTAAACTTTGTACCTGTAAGCTTTATGTTTATGCCTTTTTACATGCATATTTCCCCTACTGGAATATAAACTAATTGCAAGTGTCATTATTTCATTTTCTGAGTGCACAGTAGACATTTAATATTCACTTAAAATAATCTTACCAAGCCACGTCTTTTTTTTACATGGCAACTTGTTTCTGATATCCAAAAGAAAATAGAGCTGCTTTCCTCACATATCGATATAGGACTCAGAAATCTGCAGGGCCAGCCAGTGATTGATCTACTCAGTTCCTCCCAAAGTGCTTCCCAGTCTTCTTTGCTTATCTTGACAATCTTATATTTTGGTGACTTTTTTGATCCAACCCATTTTCTAGGACCTAGTGTGAGTCCCTTAGTGCAAAAGATTTCTCCCCCAAAATTCCCATTTCCACTGACGGCACCATCACCATCCATCCCACTAGTCATCCTTCTTGACCTTTCCACTTTTCCATCCTTGCCAACCTCATCAGCTGCCACATCGTGTTGATCCACCTACGTACACACACACACACACACACTCTGTCTCCCACCCACCCCAGAGAGAAACAGACATTTTCCAGTGGGTCACTGAATACTTTTATTCTGCACATAGAAGCCACTAGAGATCTGGCCTGTGGGCTCGTCGGGGCTGCATCCCAGGTACATGGCTCCACACATCAGCACTGGGGTTGGGGGTGAGAACAGGTCATTCTATCCCAGTCACAAGATGATCAGGGTTTTCTGACCAAGCGCCAGATGATCAGGTAGTTTCTGCTAAGACAGTTCTAACGAAGCAGTGAGAACATCACAGAAAGGTGGAGAGGAGAGGGAAGTTAAGCAGCCGAGGCCCCCATCCCCAAAACAAAACTGGTCTAGTACTTGGTGCTGCCCATTCTCAGGACAGAAGCAGACATCTACAGGGGCGATGGCGCCTGTGAGCTCCGAGGCTTCCTGGCCACAGAGCTTACTTGGCCCGAGGGTTTCTGAAGTTCCTTCCAGCAAATTTAGCTTTGCTGCCCAGTTCTTCCTCAATTCTGTGGGGGATAGAATACACAGAGAAGAAGCATAAGCATGAAGAATGCCAATGCAACACGCTTACCAACCAACACATCATACAAACAACGTATCTACAAGTATGTAATACCCACAGTCGGTCAAGATCCCCATTACTGGGCCATGGATGGCTTTAGCACTCTTAGGGTATGGAAAGTACAGAAGATCCTCCAACAGTCTACCGAGTTTCTCTATTCCTCTAGAATTAGGCCTTACAAAAAGCTGAATAGGCACAAGCTCCTGAATGTAGTGTATCTATTCTCCAACGTACCCCACATAGATATCATAGTGGCATACAGTAAGCATTTAATATATGCTTGCTGACTCCTTCCTACCTGTCACGTCTTGAACACTTCAAAGGGAACAAAACAGAACAAAAAAACACTTTCCTTCTCAAAAAATTTGGAAGCCAAGTAATATTTTAAAGACAGAGGGATACTGAAAAGATCAGGTATGCATGGAAGCAAGCAAATGAGGAAAGAACACATTACAAACTGAGCTAAAAACCACTGTCATAACCATGATTTTTTAAAACTTTTGACTTGGGAAAGACTCAAGGTCTGAGGAAAAACTCATTAACCAAATACAAAGATATCAAGTTTAGTCATGTGTCAAAGGCCCTTCTAGAATATAAATTCTGAGTTTTATAATCCTCTGGACTAGGAATACACACATGTTGAATTTAAAAAGCCTTATTGAGTTCAGGGAGCAGTGAGGAAACAGGGAGAAGAGCAATGTGCAATAAAGTTTGATGTCATGTCCTCATCTTAAAAAATAAATTAGAGGTTCCATCTATGATCAAAACAGGACAGTTTGATAATCCAGGTCAAGAAGGATCCTTGTTCGTTCTCTTAATCACCAGAGGGTGGCAGCAGCATAGAGAAGAGGGTCTCTTCTGAAAGCTCATAAAAAGGAATTAAAAGCTTTGGTGGTGGGGGCGGGGTGAAATGGAGTAGGAATATTTTGTACTTTCCTACAGAACTCTGTCACCAAAGAAAGCAATATGCAGAGACAGCCAACATTTGCTTGGAGAATTGACAATTCCAAGAAATCCTCTGCACTTAACAAAGAAAGCCTTGTAAGTTGTTTTTTTTTCCTCCCCAAAGGCCCCTAGAAGCATTAAAAAGCATCTCCTCACCTGAGAAGCTGGTTATACTTGGCCAGACGCTCAGATCGGCAGGGGGCACCAGTCTTGATCTGGAAGAAAAATCAAGCCAAGAGTAACATGTAGACTTGTATTGTATTATGGGGACAAGCCCGATATTAGTCATAGATTCCACAAGTGACCTATTGGGAGAAAGCTAGGGCATCCTGCCCTTGAAGATGACAGAAAGGCAGAGCCATGTATGGGTAAGATATAGCTTCTTTTAGGAGGTCTCTCTCTAGTTAAATATAATCAGCACTCCAAAACTCCCAGCACGAAGCTAGCTGAAAAAGCATTACAGCAAAAGTTAGGCACTACTTTCAGAGTAAGTCCTTACCTGCCCAGTGCAGAGACCCACCACCAGGTCTGCAATGAAGGTATCTTCAGTCTCCCCAGAACGATGGGAAACCATTACTCCCCACCCATTGGACTGGGCCAGCTTGCACCTAGAAGTCACAAAAGAAAATTAAGCCCAGATATTTCTATCATGATTTCCTTCTACTGGGATAAGAGAACTAGAGAGTTACTCCCAATCTATCTTCTAGGAAAGAGAGATTTTTTCTTTCAGATTTGGATGACTTGTATAATAGTTCAGAGGGCTCTCAGCAGATATAGAAATGTGAGAACCAAATACTATGACTCAGGACTACTTAATTTTAAGAAAGAAAACTCGAGAAGAGGTCACAAGGGACCTAAGAACGAGTACTGACTCCTAATGCAACGTCTGATCCACTCTGGAAAGTCACCTCCCACGCTTCTCAAAATCCCCACCGCCTCTCACCTCAAACAATCAAGCAGGGAATGCTAAGGCAGTATATAGGATAGTCATCTATGTACCTTCCTGTGAAGGGTGATAAATAGATTCCCTCTATCCCTTATAATAACTTGATGCTGAAAGGGAACTAGTCTCAATCAGAAGACCTGAGTTCATTTGAGCACTACAACAACGGGGCCTTAGGCAAGTCACTTAAAATTTAAGTCTGTTTCCTCATCTTTAAAATGACAATACGCTATTTTTAATCTAACAGGATGTTATGAAAAGCATTAACACACAGAAGTCACTTCATAATCTAAATCACTACCAGAGTTCCACAAACTGTTGAATAAATCAGTAATTTACAGTTGGGAAAGTAGATATTTTGGCAATCAACTATTGAATGAAATTTATTGTAATATTCTAGGGCCAGATCCAGCCTGGCAGCGGACCAGGCTGAATTTAGCACAAAACACCTACTGTCTGGTTGGGCCCTGGGCTAGGTTCTGATTATTCTCAAATTCTTGATATCAAGGCAAAGAGTCTGAAAGTTGTTACTTCAAGATTATTCAAAACTTTCTCAAGTTTTTAGGGTAAAAGCTTAACCCAGGTGAGCAGAACTGGCCAATGCCCAGCAGAGAAACCTGAGAGCCAAATTCAGTGTCTCGAGACTCTTCTCAAGAACTGCCATTCATATTGCACTGTTACACACTTCACATACACGACCTCACAACGACTCGGAGAAGTGGTTAATATGGCTATTAATTTCACTTTACAGATGAGGAAACAGGCTCAGAGGTAAGGTTACTTAACCACGGTTATCAGGTAGAGAAGTATCAGGAGGAACGGGGTGGGTGGTGTTTCCTTTCTCCACGGGATGAGGATGCCTCCTTAGAAGCCTGAATCTTACTCTCCCTGCAGAGGTTATTCCTGCTGTCCCCGAATAGGACTTACGCCTGGAGAGATTCGGTCACAGAGCCAATCTGGTTCACTTTGAGTAGGAGGCAGTTGCAGGCTTTCTCATTCACAGCCTTTTCGATGCGCTTGGGATTGGTCACGGTGAGATCATCCCCTACCACCTGGATGCCCGCAGTAGCAGTGAAATTCTTCCAAGCTTCCCAATCGTCCTGGTCAAAGGGATCTTCAATAGACACCACTAAGGAGAAAGAAAAGGCAAATGTGGATAAATGCACTACTGAATTTCAGTGTCCATTTCCCACAACTGAGAGTGGAACCCAAAGGAGTATGGGTTCTTGTGCTCAAAATTTAACCAAGATAGTTTCCCTGTACAACCACCAATCTCTTAACAGGGCACAAAATTTACCTGGACTTCTGGAACAGATCTTTAAAAAGCAAACTCTCATTATACGGAACAACTTTCAAAGAGCGGCAGTCACAAGAAACAGCTAACCTCTTAAAATCTCTATGTGCTTCCACAAGGCTACAACTGTGCTTTATAGAAATGACCTAGGGAGTAACTGGATCGGTACATGCATGACCCCAGCTGCTAAAGTTCATGAGCTGCCCTGCCCCATTCTGTTCCTTAATCATTAAAAGACCCGGTGTCCCAGACCATCCTGTACATTCCTCATAGAATCATAGAAAACAATCCAAGTCCATCATTTTACCAATGAGCAAATTAACTTCAAGCTTAACGTTAAACAGCTCGTTCACAGTCCTGCAGCTGGTACAGGGAACCTGCTGCTGCGGAATGGTGGCACACCCTATACCAGGTGACTCCTACCTGGATAGTCCTTGATGAAGCTCTTGTAGATGTCCCCCAGCTCAGAAGGGGAGATGTATCTGCTGGCATCATCAGGAGACTTGAAGTCCAAGTCATATTTCCCAGATCGGAAGAATTCTGAGGCGGCAACATCCATGCCAATTACGACCTTATCAGTATAGCCAGCCTTACCAATAGCATTCTTTAGCAGCTCCAGAGCTGGAAGACATGGCAGCAGCAAAGGAGGTAAGAAAACACCGGTAGGTGAAAACAGAAATTTCACTTCAATAGGTATCAAGCAGGGAGTTTAACAGGGAGGGCAAGAGACACTCTCTCTCCATAGAACTTCTGCTCTCCCTGCCTTGGTAATGAGACGCCTTTTCTAAGTGAGGGTAGCATGGCCCTTAGAAGGTCACACAGCGGGAAATTTGGTAAGGTCTTTAAGAAACTGTCTTCCCCATCGACAACTGGCCCAGATTTATAGCTCAAGAACAGCTGCATTTACCAAGCTACAGTTACAGTAAGCAGCTGAGATCAGCCCTTTCAAAAGCAGCAATTTAAATGGAACCAGTGGCTGAAAATCCAAGAACAAATACAAGTACTGTGTAGGTGGAGGCCTGAATGCCAAGTGCCCAGCTCTAACAGGACCTGCAGAAAAACGTGCCTTCTGATCCAGTACCTCCCTGATGGAGGAAGGTACCCAGGAGATGATATACATGTATGTAGGTATGGCTATTTTCTCTCTCTTTGCAGGGTCTTCCTGACTTTGATGGGGTGTCCCTAATGACTCAATTCCCCTAAAGATGAACAATGGCTAATCCCTTAATATTTCCTTCACCTTTGCCTCCTGTTTACCCAGTTCCACCTTTTAACTAGACCTAAGAACTAAAATCAGAACAAGTCAATGAGACAGCATTATTATAATTTAATTAAATAAATTTTACCATGAGTTAAAATTAACTCAGAATTGAATCACTGCTCTGTCCCTGAATATGGTCTAGATTTTTCCACTGGCAACATAAAGATTGGGCTTATAGACGGGGTATAAATACTTCCAGTCTCACAACACACAACCACTCTCACGGAAGAAACTTACATCATTCAGTATGAGTTAATTACATTCCTAAGGAAAAAAAATAGAAGAAAAGGAACCCTATTCATTAGGATCTCCTCCTTTATAAGGGGGAGGAAGAAGGCCTACTATGATTAAAAACCCATATACAAATTGGCTTGAAAAATTGCATCTTTCTCTGGAAAGCAGCTGTTTGGTAGAAATTAGATGTATATCAACACAAAATGTCTACACAGGACTTAGAAGATCAGGGGAAAAAGTGATCTTTCAGATCTATGGATAAGAGAAGCCATAACTAACTAGATAAGCAATAGGGAGGATCACACAAGACAGAAATGTTTAATTCTGACTTTAGAAAACTAGGAAGTTCTTGCATAAATGTAATGTAATTAAAATTAAAAAGGAATCAGATATTTAGGGGAAAAAATCTGTTATCCTAAGAAATTATAAAATCAAGAAAACCTTTGAAATGATGTAGAGTGAAGTGAGCAGAAATGGAACAATTTATATAACATCATCGAGAAAAAACAAACTTAAGCTTTTAAAACTCTGATTAATGCGATGATAAATCACAAATCCAAACAACTAAAGAGGAATCAGCAGCCAATTCCAGGCAGAAGGGAAAATGGACTTGAATGAGACAGACTTTTTTTTTTTGACAATTACAATGTGGGAATTGGTTTTGCTAGATTATGAAAAGAAGAGTACCCCTCAAACCCTGCTGGGATAAAATCACGTTGGGACCCCAAGGTTGTAAAGTGCAGTCAGCTCCCTGCACTCTTTACCTTCCTTATTCTCCAGGATGTTAGGAGCAAAGCCACCCTCATCCCCTACGTTGGTGGCGTCCTGTCCATATTTCTGCTTAATCACACTCTTCAGGTTGTGGTAGACCTCCGCTCCAATGCGCATGGCCTCCTTAAAGTTTGCTGCTCCTACAGGGAGGATCATGAACTCCTGCATTGCCAGCTTGTTACCAGCATGGGAGCCACCGTTGATCACGTTGAAGGCCTGAGGAAAGGTGGGAAAGATCCATTTGATGCATCAAGGGATCTAACTATTCCAGGGTCAGTAAAGGACAAATACCCTTGGGGTGCTGAGTCGACAGTCAATGCTATCAAGCTCAGCAGTATGAGTCTTGACAGTGAACACACCCCACTGGCAAAGTCCTGGTGCCATCTGTGCTGAGATTATCCCGCCCAAATCACTAAGACACACTTCTGGATTTACCTCTATAAATGCTGCATGTAAAGATCCAGAAGAGCAACCCCATTTAGGGTCCAGAAAACAATAGCCTGCACTCATATAGGGCTTTAAGGTTTGCAAAGTGCTTCACAAACAATATTTCATTTGATAATCACAACACTGTAAAGTAGTGGTGGTAGTGGTTTTCATTTAGAGATGAGCAAAAAGGCCCAGACTTGCCCATGGCCATTCTAGCTAATGTTGGTGGTGGGATTTAAACCAAAATCATATGACGCTTTCTCAGAATATGTTCTGGGCCATAGAGAAACAATGAAATTTTACAAGTAACTTACTGGAACGGGCAGAATGACTTCATCATTGCCAGCAAGGTCAGCAATATGGCGGAACAGGGAGACACCTTTCTCAGCAGCTCCAGCCTTACAAACAGCCAGAGACACTCCCAATATGGCATTTGCACCAAATTTAGCTGAAATGGTGGAAAGGAGATTTGTTCAATGAAGCGTATTTTCTGAAAAGTTACCCGTCCTATGACCAAACTTTTTCACTGGCTGCCTGTTCCTAGTGAACACTACAAGTTCAACTTAGTATCTGGTCTACGGTGGTACTGAAAAATATTTTGTGTGACAGCGTGTTCATTGTTATCCATGTTACCTTTAAGAAATTTGTAACAAAACTGGAACCATCCTAGTTTCACCTTAACCACCTATGCTAAATGTCTTAAGCAATCCCACTGATCTGAGCATAATCCTCTCCATGACCTCCAATCCCCTCCAGCCCTGAGTTCTTTCCTAGGCCACCCTCCCCCTTCCCTGTCTCAACCATTTAGTCCAAGTTCACACTATTCCCTACCCTCAAATTTCCCATCTCATCTTATTGCTGATCACACCCTGTCAAACCCCAAACTCAAACCCCCCCTATTGATGTGCTGCTGCATGAAGCTGGATCCAGTACAAACTGAAGTCATAGTATCACAACTAGGCCCTTCTTGTAGCAAGGCAATCAGCCTCCTCCCTCCTCAATTCTCACAGCAGCCTCCTCCCGTTCAAGACCTTGTTAACATTATAACCAAAGTGACCATTGGACAGGAACTCTCTTCTTCCCTCCCTCTCGTCTTGTGATTAGACATTTTATCTTTTCTCTACTCCAGTCTCAATGAAGAGTTGGAGTCCAACTGCTTTACACACACTTTTGATCTCGTTCCCATCTATCTTCTCACAGAGATGGTGCCTACGGTCACCCCCGAATTCTCGAATTTTTCATCTCGACTATCCTCTGGTTCCTTCCGTACTGGTTACAAACACACCCATGTTGTCCCCATTCTTAGAAAAGCTTTCAATGGATCCTACCCTTCATATTAGCTATCGTCCTACAGCTCTCCTCTCCTTCTTGGCTAAACTACTTGAAGAAATCATCAATATGTATTTTTAAAACTTTATTTTTGTCTGTTTTCTTCCACAACATGGCTAATACGGAAATGTTTTGCATGACTGTAGCTATATAATCTATAACAATTGTCTGCCTTCTCAAGGAAGGGAAAAGGGAGGAAGAATTTGGAACTCAAAATTTAAAAAAATGTAATTTTGAAAATTTGTTTATGTGTAATAGAGAAAAAATAAAAGAAAAATATAAAAAGAAAAAACAAAAATGAAAACATCTATATTCCATGATTCTACACCCCCCCCTTCTTTCTAAAGGTTTTGCCCCTACAAATACACCTTGCTCTTCTTGTGGTCCCCCAAAAAGCTGAGGTCGTGCTGTCCACACCAGTCTATCTATCTAGGATGCCTCTATCTACAGGGGACTGACTGAGCAAATGTTCTTCACAGAAGAAGACGATGCATTGTTTGTGTTCGTCTTCAGATATGGAGAATTCCATGCCCTTCTGGATCAAGTGCATCAGTCTAAGCGACTCACATTTATTCTCAGTGCCGTCCATCTCTATCATCAATTTGTCGATCTTTTCCTGCTCCACAACATTCAGTTTCTGCAAGGCAGAAAAGAAAACAAGTTGCCAGAAAGGAATAACTTTTGGTTACTTCACCAGTGGTTTCTGAGGCCTAACAGGATCACAGAATTGGATGCAGGAAACCTTGGATCTCATCTGGTACCTTCCCTTCCTCAGGCCTGAAAAGTGGCTTGTCCGCCTGTCACAACCTGAGGGGAAGAAATGGCCCCCCTCACTTCCAGAGTACTTCTAGTCCCACTCATTCTGCTTCGTAAGAGTTGTGACAACAGTTGTGAACAGACATCCATTTACGTCCAACACGCACGGGTCAGCAGCTGGACTTCCAGTCTCAATGACATAGGGGATTCTTAGTGAAATTTAGTCTGACAGCTGCTAAGATGGAGCACTAAGAGATTAAACGACTTGCTCAGGATCACACTGCCAGTGTGTGTCAGAAGTGGGACTAGAACTCAGGTGATCTTGGCTTTGAGGCCAGCCCTCTATCCATTTTACCACACTACCATAAATGGAATGGATTCGATAAATTAATTATTTGTACTCCGCTCGCTATGGGAGATAAAAATGCGGCCCATCTCTACTCTTTTCTGTAACTGTCCCCCTTCCTAAGAAGTATATACCAGATTCTGTTAAATTTATCTTCTAGTACAGGGATAATAGTTAAAAGGCATGCCTTGGGGGGCAGCTAGGCGGCACAGTGATAGAACTCCAGCCTTGGAGTCAGTAGGACCTGAGTTCAAATCTGGCCTCGGACACTTGACACTTACTAGTTGTGTGATCCTAGGCAAGTCACTTAACCTCGATCACCTCGCCAAAAAATAAAATAAAAATAAAAAATAAAAGGCGTGCCTGGTGCCCTTAAAAAGCACAGTCTGGCTAGAGATATTAACAGATACGAGATTATGAAATCACATGACTGCTTTTCAAGAAATCACAGCATTCATCCATTCAAATATTTTCCTTCAAAGTGCTTACTCTGCAACACTTTATGCTCATTCCAATATTCTTATTTCTCATTTATTTGAGGGTTCTTCTGGAACTGCCTTGAGAGCCTGCACATTCTTTCAAATCTCCTTACTTCTGCTAAAACAGCATAACACACAATTTTTGCAGAATCAAAAGTCACCTGGAACCTAATCTGATGAAGACAACTGGTTTGGGTTGAGGGGGAGGGGAACCAACAAAGTGACCATAAAGTGACAACAGCTGGTTTTCCTGCAAATTGTAAACCCTGGAAATTAGCTAAAAAGACAAACTCAGAGAGTTTTCATCCTCTCCTGAGCAAAAGCAGCACACCGAGCATAAAACGTACACGTGATGCTGCAGAGTGGTGACTCTGAAGGACAACATTCATTTAGATGAATAGACTCTTACCGTGCTTGTTGAAAAAATTAGTCTAATTCCTTAACAGGCATCAGGGCGGGCTGACGTGGTGGGGAGAAGGCAGCAGGACAGGGATAGGACTTGGACTGAGCCCTGGACAGCCAGGACTTAAGAGAAGGGAATGCATGCATGTCAAAGGGGAGGCCGTGTTTATGCAATCCAAGGCAGAGAAGAGGAGAACATCTTATCTGGGGAGTGTGATAAAGAAACTTGGCTGGTAGTGTGGGCATAAACTGGTGTAAGTTGATGCAAGTTAAGGCCAGAGTAGGGAGGACTAGGTTGAAGCATTTGTAACAAATGTGGTCAGCAAAAGAACCACTGTAGGTCTTGACCAAGGGAGCACTATGATAGAAGTGGTGTGGGTGTGTGTGTGTGTGTGTTTGTGTCACTGGCTTGCAGGACAAATTATCTGGGGTGGCATACAGTAATTTAAGCATGATATTAGGTCTAGGGAATGGAGAGGGGAAACAAATACAAGAGGTATTTTGAAGGCTTAAGTAAGAATTTGCTAACGATAAAAAACACGAAGAGTGAAAAGTTATTGATAAGCCTGAGGTTTGTAGCATGGGACAATGGTACTACTATCGATATAAAGAGGAGAGTTGGGAGGGAAAGCCAGTGCCTAAAATCAGGTTACCTTTGTAACCCATTTAGAGTTGAGGGAGTTGAGCAATGCTCAGAGTTTAGCTAAAAAAGTGAAAGGAGTTTCTCAAGTTTAACAATAATACCCCCAGCAGAAAAATGTAGGTTGGCTAAAGCAAAGAAAATGTCCTTTGAATAGATAACTGCTACAGTTATCTGATGAAATCTTGTCCCAAGAAGAATGTTCATTTCCAGAATAAGAAAAACTCTTGTCCTCAATAAAGAGGGTGATCTTTCCTTTCTTTCTGCAAAAATGATTTTCTTAAAATAATAAATAAATGATAATGCTCTAGTTCATGAGAAATGAGCAAGTGGTTCTAGCTTCCAATTCCATTTTCACTGGGAAGGACAGGTTCTATTACAGCCCTTCTTCGTCATTTATAATTTCAAGCAAAGCTCAAAATCCTAGGAAGGAAACTAGATACAGGCCCTTAGACTTGAGTCTTACCTCTTTAGTGATTTAATCCCACCTGTCATTGGAAGGAAAAGCAAATAGCCAGCCAGATATCGGTTAGGCTGAAGTATATTCATGCACTGAACAGAAAATCCCATAGGCTGGTTTCTCCAGCTCTTGAGACTTTTAACAAAGAGCAAAGGCCACTGAAATTGGGTATATTAGTTAAAATGAGGAAGGAGCCTACCTTGCTAACCAGGGTCGGGGCAATAGTTTTATTGATGTGCTCAACCGCTTTTGAGACACCTGGAAGGAACAAGCAAATCAAATCACTGACGTCAATACACAGGCCAAACAGGCATTGCTAGATGATCACTACTAATGGTCAACATGGGGATTTGATCCACCATGTGACTTTCAAAATAGCTTCTCTTTTAGAATCCCCACTTCTCTTTCCCATCAGCATTTTCAGGCTTTCCTGCCTAATCTGAGTATTTTCACACACGATCCCAAAGAGTTAAAGCCCCAGAGAGCCACCATCTAAGAATGCCTGCTGGCAGGTTAATTGGAAGACCATGCACTGGAAATACCATCTGCAGACAGACTACAGTCAAAGCTTTACCAGTCCATTACCTGGGTACATAAGGCTGTTGCCAGGAACTCATTAACATATTTAACGGGTCTGGAGACACCTGACCAGGCATAAGAGTGACAGAGGAGAAAAGGAAAAAATAAAACACTCAGAAAAGATCAGACAAGTGTAGGACACAAAGTAATGAAAAAGCAGAAAAGGAAGAGAAGAATGAATCAGGATCCTCAGGAGTAGTATTTGTTCAGTAAGTATTTATTTTACCTCCCTTTGACTGAACTGTGATGATCTTGTGGAGGGGGGGGAGGGAGGGAGAGAGGGGGGGAGGGATGGAGGGAGAGGGGGGGAGAGAGAGGGAGAGGGAGGGAGAGGAAGAGGGAGAGAGAGGGAGAGAGAGGGGGGGGAGAGGGAGAGAGAGAGGGAGAGGGAGGGAGGGAGAGATATCAAGGACTATAGTTTAAATTACTTCTATTTAGACAGATACTGAGGCACCTTGAAAAAGTGATTCAAGATATTTAATTGGAAAATAATTTTATGTTCTTTGATATGTCTTCCCACTTTCCAGTGACATAATACAACCAAACAATAGTAATAATAAAGAGCTCACATTTTGATAGTGTTGTATTTGCCTATGGTGGGCTTCCTCCCCACATCCCCTTTAGGGAGACTGTAATCTGCTGCAGTGGGCACAGGGCCCAGCCCAAACTCAAAATCATCTCTTCTGACTCCAAGGTCCAGGCTCTTTCTGCTGCAACCGTCCTTCCAGCAGAGAGGGGGATTCTTTAATTATGGAGATTCATTTGCTTCTGGAGCTATTCCCTACCTGAAACTTTAATCCCCAGTGGATACTCTGCATTTGTTGCTAGGCAAATTGTTGCAATTCAACAAACAGGAGAATTAAGACTTGGGTATGGAATAACTAACACCTGTATACAAGTCAGCTTCACAGGACAATTTCTTAAAACAGAGGAAGGGAAAGAGAAATCTAAACTCTTTTATAGTACTGTTCCCTTTAAAAAAACCACAGAAGTATGAAGTTAAGTCTTTCTCTAAAAGATTTATTTTCATGAACCTAGTTTCAATTTCCAAAATATATTTAATTGTCTTTGCAAACTTGCTACTTAGGAGATTCTAGCCTCTTCACTGCAGTGGCACCCTCTCATCCCAATTTTACCCAAGGAGAAGAGAACATGTGGGTTGTTGTAATGGAAATGAACATGTTATATGCACTATTTTCTACAACAAAGACATGCCTGTTACCTTACCCAAACACTGTTAATTCCACAAAAATGCAAGGACAGGTGCCCAAGGGGAAAAGCTAATGCTGGTTCAGGGTCAGGAGGGAATGAATAGGCATAACTAGGGGCTAGGAGCTCAAGGCACTCTAGCCTTGAGATGGGGGTGGCAGAACTGCCAAGGTGGCCTTAAGTAGGGAGAAAGAAGTCCTGGAATAGATAAAAGGAGCCAAATTAATGAGTCAAATGATGGGTGGCCTGGGGAAGTGGGGGGAGCACCCCCCAAGCTTCTAGAATAGCCAGGAACTAAACATTTTGGTGAATATTGACTGAGTTACAAATGGAAAACCAAAATCTGTTGCCACTAGAAAATTACGTTGATGTTACATTCTAGCTGTCACTATTGGATACTGAGGTCCAACTCTAATGAGTCAACCAAGAATGGAATAGGATGATACTAGTTCAAATCAAGACCCTCTTTTCAACATTCCTGCAACTGATCAACATGGCCCAAATCCAGTTCTTGGCCTGAAAACAGGAAAATGCTACTTTGACAGGACTGTTGTCCAATTCTGAGGTTAGGAAACACTGTTAGAGTGAGTTACATTTTGCCATGTCATCTTCTAGAACTGCTTACAGAGCTAACATAGATAATTTTGGTTTTGCTTTAAAGAGCTACTAAACCAAAATTAAGAAGTCCCCCCTTTCATGCATGCCCTTAATTTCAATAGCCTAACCATAAATGAATTATTGAGGATGTTACTGACCAATAACTGCAGGAGCTAGCTAAAAGACATGTTATAGGATAAGAGACACACAATAAAGAGGAGAAATGTAATTTCCCCCAGTTGGTTCAATGATCTAAACACATGTTCATCACTCACGGCAAAGTGCCCAGTCAGAGGCTCATCCTTAAACAAACACAACCAGGTGAACACTGTGCAGCAGCTGCTGTGACTTAGGAGTTCCTAACAGTAACACTCCCAGCACAGAAGACAGTGAGGTTCTCTCACCTTTCCCCATGTAGCGGGTCTTGTCATTGTCTCGGAGTTCCAGGGCTTCATGGATACCAGTAGAAGCACCGCTGGGCACAGCAGCTCGGAAGAGACCTGGGTGGTTTTTTTTTTATTTGATTTTTTTTTGGGGGGTGGGGGTGGTATAAGGGGGATGAAAGGAAAAGAAAACAGTAATATATTAATCAAAAAGCCATGCAAACAGTTATCCCTCCCATTCTAGATGGCAGAAATGACAAGGAAGCCATGTTCTTTCCACTTTCCTACATCAATGGAGAGGGCTTACCTACCTAAGTCCAGTTTCCTCTAGCCTCCCCTAACACTCATCCTTATCAGGTCCAAGATTTACATCACTCACAAGGTTAGGTGTAGGGTTAGACAAAGTAATAAGTTGGGAGAAGAGCCTGGGAGGGAGAGAACACTGGGCTGTAGCGCTCTTAAATCAAGCTGAATCAGGCAGCCAGTTTTCAGTCCTAAGCCTGGTTCATTCATCAGGCAAGCTCATTCAACCGTTCAGGAAGCAAAATCAGCTCAGCTGGGCCAGGGAACAAAGTCTATTGTGATTGCTTATTGCATTAGGTCCTGGAACAATTGGAGGTCTGAAGAACTATGATGGAACACCACCAAAAAACAGCAAACAAGAAAAGGCACAAAGCCTGGGAGTAATGGAACCTGAAAAGAATCTGAACCATGCAGCTCTACAGATACAGAAAGCCAGCTGGCTAGGCTCATGCCTATATCAGACCAAGAAAAAGGGAAAATTGAGGAGGGGCCCTGGGAAATCATGTTTTAAAAATACATTTCAAAGATGTGGGCAGGTGGGGGTTTTTAGGTAATAACTGAAAGTGAGCCTTTGAGGGCTGTCCCTAGGATTTCCTAGGGAAATTTATTTGCATATATTTATATGCAAAAATGAGTGGGTGTGTCTGGGTTATAAATGCAAATGGCTGGCCTTAAGTAGAAAGAGTTAAAAAAGGCACAAATTTGAAGCTAATATCCAAAGTCCTCAGGAAATTGAGCACTCTCAGGGTTCTCAAGAGCTCCTTTCTAACCATCTGAAGGCACTCATCCAGGACTCCCCAGTCAAGTCTAGTCTTTTTTTTTTCCCTTTTGAAAAGTTCAATTTATTTCTCTTTAGCCAGTTTAACCTTCTGACTAAAGAGAGCAGCCTTGAATCATCATCAAGGGATGCCCAGCCTACGTGACATGAAGCATGTATACCCCAAAGACATTTACTGAGCATGCCTATCTCAGAGGCTGGTTTGCTTAGCTACAGAAAGCAGTCTGTGGTCAACTTCCTCATAAAGGAAGGGGCAAACCGTGTTAATGAAAAGTGGAAGATTACACAGCACTTTTTTAATAAGAAGGAAAGAAATGGGGGTAAGAAAAGAAAAGGGAAGAGTTTTATTAGCCAAGTTATGGCTCGCCGTGGGAGGGACTCAGTTTTCACTAACCAGCAGTATGCTAAGTAATCCCACAGTTACTGAATCTGAAGCTCATTTTTCACCTATCTCAAGGCCCAACATCTTCCAGAAGAAGGGGCAGTTGGGAAAGAAAGGTGAGGGTAGAAAACAAAAAAAATTTTTTTTGCTTTTTGATGAGGCAATCAGGGTTAGGCGACTTGCCCAGGTCCACATTTGAACTCAGGTCCTCCTGACCCCAAGGCTGGCGCTCTATCTACTGAGCCACCTAGCTGCCCCCAAAACAATCTCTTTTTAAGGGCTACTTAAGAGCTCCCACTCACATTTTACTGAAGTAACAAAACCTCAAAGCTTCCGCTGCCTGGGGAGACCTGCAGCAGCCATGTCAATCAGCACAGGGGACTACAAAGTTTCCATGGCAGCTCTGCCATCTTATTTCTCGGTCCTTACTGTGGTTACAAAGTAACTCAGGGCTACATTTTAAACCTGTAAATACTTGGCCTCTTTCCTGCCATGTCAAATAAAGAAATCCAATTGGTGCCGATATACAAATTCAACCCACATTCATCTGCTCTGAATTAGAGAAGGAAGCCATCCTTTCTCACCTTGCTCCCTAGTCTCTTTGTCTGAGTGAGGACAAGCTGAGCACATTTGGAAGTGCCTGCGTTCGCTTGTGTGTGCCCCACCCCATTAGTCACCCACAAGCCAGAGCTTATCCATATGTGCCAAAGACTACTAAGATTTGTCTTATGCACAAAGAAAACAAGCATTTTACTAAGTGCCTACTACTGTTAAGTAACTTACAAATAGCTCATCTGAAAGTGTAAGGTGTGGTTTGCATTTTAAAAACAGACATATGCTTTTAACCTCCTGGAAAAGTAGCCAGTTTACATGAGGGTAGTGGAAGGGAGGAAAAACTGGGAACGAGACGGGTAAATGAGGTCTGCACCTTTTTCAGTGTAGAGATCAACTTCAACAGTGGGGTTTCCACGAGAGTCAAAGATCTCTCTTGCCTGGACCTTGCAAATAGACATGTTGAGTTTCTGTGGGGAACAAAGTTCAAAGAATTAACAGAAGTCATCTTCCAGCTCTAGTTTTAAGTTTTACTTGCCCTAGCTTCAGTAAGGAATACAAAAGTGAACCCTACTCTCAAAGATATGCATGATCTAGCAAGGCAGCCACAATACACACATAGATATTTAGAATTCAAGGAAGCAAGTGATAAGAGTCAGGTGAGTGGTACAAACCAAGAGTTTTATAGGAGGTACAAAGGCAAGAGATCATTTCCAGCTGGAGTGAACATTTAAACTAGATCTTGAAGGATGGATAAAATTTCAGTAAAGGATAAGAAGGGAAGGAATTCTATAAGGGAAGATGCATAGGTAAAGAGCTGCAATGAATTAACTGCGAAGGAAGATAAATGGTGGAAGATAAAGTAAAGGTTGACTTGGGGCCAGCCTATGAAAGGGCCTTGAATGCCCAGCAAAGGACTCTGGACTTTTTAGTAGAGTGCCTTTCAAAGTCTGCAGACTGGGGAAAAACACAATGAAAACAGTTTGGCAGGAAAAAATGAAGATTAAACTGGTAGGGGCAGGGCAAGTCTACAGGCTGAGGAGTGTGGAAATTGTAATGCCCTTTATAGTTAGGTATTCCAATAGTCAAAGCTTGGGATAAAAAGAGTCTGGAATTTGAGTGGTACCAACGGGAAGGAGGAGTGAAAGGACCAAAGTGTGAAGCCTAGAAAAAGAGAAAGATAGTGGGCCCAAGCTGAAGACCTGGGTTCTAGTTGTGGCTGTCAATCTCTAAGTCACTTCAGGGAGTCGGACTAAAATAAAACAGTCCTTGCTTTCAATGAGATTACATTCAGTAAATGTCCAACAGAAAATCATGGAGCTGAGGAAATGCTTTAGGGTGCTCACTGTAATTTTCTCACACCTGTTATGTAATAATAACCTAGTGGGCTCTTTTTTGCTCCTGATCAACTGGTTCTAAAGCATCAGTTCCTAAGGTCTTCATTTTCTCCATATCTTGGGTGATTTAATAAAATTCTAGGTAATTTTAAAAATATACTAACCTAACTTTTTCAAGAGGAGCACATCATACAACTTATTCAAGATTTAAAATTTAAAGAGACTGGGACTGTGGGGTAGGAGAGACAGCTTGAGCTGGCTCAGGAGTCAGAAGACCTAGCCATATTTTGGCTGTGGGACCCAGCCTTAAGATTTAAGCAATTCTTTAAGATATTAAGATGCAGAGAAAGTGCCAACCTGCAACGAGGGTGAGTTTCCTCATCAGGAACTCCTTATATAAAAGATCGAGTTTCTCTCCCTTCAAACTGAGAAACACGTTACAACTTGTAAATGGGAATTATGACTTGGGAATGATACAACCTTGACACATTGGAATGCTTATGGAAAAAAAGTTCTTAAAAGTTGGGGAGAAAAAGAGAAGAAAACCCAAATGAGTCAGAATGGCACACAACCTTCCCCTAGCGGAAAAGAGAGGAAGCGCTGGGAGGGCCTCATTTCAGCAGCTCCACGAGGCAGCTCTGGTTCCAATTGTTCCTAATCCTCCCCATGGCCGCACCGCACCAACTGTAACAACTCGAGCTTGCCTGTCCTCCCCCATCTTCTCCTGAATGTTGAAGCAATAATCGGCATAGCAAATGGAGACACTAAGCCACTTGTTTGATCCTATTTGTTTAGACCGCTAAAGTGAGTCATTAAGCAAAGGTAAAACATCCAACTAAATCCATGCCATTCACGATCATTTAAAAACTCATTTCTAAAGGACTCAGTTTATTAGATTGTAGTATAAATCCAACTGTTTTCATTAATTATATCTTGGTTATATGAGTGAAAACACATGCTCTTTTAAAATGGCACCACACCCACTTCAATTTCATTTTAAAGTCTCACAGGTCTCATGGCATTCTATTTTGGGGGGATTATTATAAGACAACTGTTTGTCTTGGGGCAGTTAGGTGGCATAGTGGATTGAGTATTGGGCCTGGAGTTCAAACTCGGCCTCAGAAATTAGATGTGTGACCCCGGGCAAGTCACTAAACCCTTTTTGCCTCAACTTCCTCATCTGTAAAATGAGAGACAGGAGAAGGCAATGGCAAACCACTCCAGGATCTTTGAAATCGCCAAATGGGGACAAAGAGTCAGCCAGGACTGAACAACCACAGTTGTCTTAGGCGCTATATTGAGGGGAAGGGCACTGGTATTTACTGTTTTTCAGTAAAATGACCTATTAGATGGAGAATCATTCTAGAACACACATGGTTCTTGTGATTTGCTTTTTAATCTCTGGATTAAACCATGTACCAAAGTAAGTAGTATATTAGGCAAAGTCATGGCCTAACTTTCAAGCCAGGGAAGAAAGTTTACCAATAATCAAGAATATATTCTGGAGGAAAATAGTGATCAGGAAACTATGGGCATTTTAAGAGGTCATTTTCTAGAAGATGAGAATGGTATTACAAGAGGGGAATAAATAAAAAGGTCCTTCTTCCAATGTGAATTGTATACTCTAGGCATTCTGGCTGGTGTAGCTTGGTCAAAAATAAGCAACATTACTTGCAGTTATTATAAGTTACAGTTCATTCCAAAGCAATCTAGGTGGACACCAAACCCCTAAATTGCAATCACTGAGCCAGCTCCAATCACAGTTACATTCTTGACTAAGAAGCCACTGGGGGAAAGGTATCATACCTATTCACAGCCCCTTCCTCCATTTTAGGAAAGGGACTGGTTTTATAGGCCATGAGGCAGCAAGAATCTGCATCTGAAGAGACCTGTTTCAGTTCACAGAATAAAAGCTTAAGGGGGGGTGGGGGGAGAGAGAGAAGAAACCCACCAAAAAGGACTCCGTTTTTTCCTGCCTCTATTTAAATCTAGTCACTTGCACTTCTCAGGGACTTAGTCTCCTTATCTGTAAGTTAGGTGCATGGCTAACGATGTATGATCTATGTTTAGAAAAAAGATCACACCCCTTTCTTACTTCCCCCCAAAGATGGGCACTTGCTACTGATAAATGAGCACCATCGCCCAAACTGCTTTGTAATTTATTCCTTTCCATTGAGTCCCTTTCAAATGCTGTTTTCTAACTCTAAGGAATTAGGGCCACCTCAAGGAATTACTCCACTCCAAGTTCTACAAGGATTACAAGAAATCATTCCTAGATATACATCTTTATTTAGAGCCCACCTCCCCGAGAGAAATAAATCACCATGTGCCTTGTAGATAAAATACCAGGGATTTGTTTCTCCCCCAAACTGCAAGGGAAATGTGTTCATTCCCGCAAGTGTCTTATCTACTTCTTACCCATTCATCTCATCTACTCACCCACATCCCCGCAAAGTCACCACACTAAGTCTCTACCCATGCCCCCCTCGATCTGGGTGACCTTGAGTGAAGCACAGCGTTCCCATGGGCCGCAATATTCTACTTTGTATAAAAAGGGGGTGTGCGGGGCCCAAATGACCTCTAAAGTCCTCTCCCGATGCAAAAAGTTGTCCGACTCGAAGGACTCAAGGGCCCAAGTGGAGCTGGCCTTCGGACCGGGCAGTGGGAGCCACAGCGGTCCACGGGGAGGGAGATCGGGACCGGCTCGGGGGAATTCGGAAGAGCAGAGACCCCCTTCAACCCCTCCTCCCGAATGCTGAGAACCCTAGCAGGGGTGACGGCTCACGCCTGCCGGGCCCCCTTTACCTGGATGGGGCTTCCTCCGCTGGGCTCAGACAACAGAGGCCGAGGGATCTACCTACACCAAGAGGGAGCGTTAAATGGGCGAGCTCACGCTAGGGAACCCCTCCTTCTCCTCCAGTGGCTCCTCCTTCCTTTCCTCCTCGCTCCCCTAACAGCGCCACCTCCCCCCTCCGGACTTCCGGTCTAGGTTGGAGGGGGTGGGACTCAAGCACCACCTCCCCCTTCTCCCATTTGCCTATCCCATAGCGCCACCGACTGCGTACTCCCTCCTCCATTGGCGAAGCACGCAGTCCCTCTCGCCGCAGGCCTCCCAATTGGGCAGGCGAGCCCACGGCCGGAGCGAGGCTGCGGCAGGAACGGGAGCCGCTTCGAGCCTTGTCCCTCCCACAGAGCTAGGGCGGGGGCAAGATAGGGGTGGGGGGCGGCCTCGGAGCTCACGTACTCTTCGTCCGGCACGTTTTTGGTCCCCGGCTTTACTCCTTTCAAGGTCCACCTGCTCTCCAGAGACACTGACCCTCTTCCTGTCCCCACCCCCACCCCCACCCCCACCCCTCCTTCCAGTCAGTGCCATCTGCGCCTGCGCAGCCGTCAAACCGTTATGCCGACTCGCCCGCGCTGGGCTACTTATCTTTCTACAATACACCCCGCCCCCATTCAAGCCCCTCATTCTCTGCGGGGGAGCATGACCCACTTTGTCCTCCAAGCGAGGGCCAGGAAAGGGACTGACTGACAAGCTCAGTACTGTGGAGTTCCAGAGACGGGCTGAGCCTTCTTGGGAGGAATTGCTGCCCGCCCTTTAGAACGCACCAGTTATTCATCGTGGCAATGGAAAATCCCCAGCCCCTTAGATCCCCGCCTTCCGGGCAGCTGCTAGACGGGACGCGCAGGCGCAGCGGCCATGGGCAAGACCTGCAGTGCTGCGTGACTGAACTAACGTAGCATCTACCGAGCTCGCGCTTGCGCTCCCGAGTCAGAGGGGGAGGGGCGGGGAGAAACGAAAGAGGCTCGCGCGTGCGCAGGGGGAAGGACCGAGGAAGGAGAAGCCTCGGGCTTAGAGCAACTCCGAGAGCTCTGCTCCTCCTCTCCACCACCCCACCCCCACCCCGTGCCTGACCCTGGACTTCTTTGACTCCCACTGTAGCTCATGACAGAAATTCTGGCTTGAGCTGCACCTGTGTCTCTCTAAATCCAACTCTTATCGGCCCAAGATTCTCCTCTCATACCCAACCCTCGAAGACCTGGCAGCCCAAGTTGTTTGCACGTTGTCTCCCCCCCTTTAGAGGGTGAGCTCCTTGAGGGCAAGACCTGACTTTTGTGGTTCTTTGTATCCCCAGCACTTTGCATCATGCCTGGCACATAATAGGTGTTTAACAAATGCATATTGATTGATGGACTGACATTCTACCTTTTCACTGCTCTAATTGTTAAGTTTCCATTTCCATGAAACCTGAACTTCCCTCATTGAAGCTCATTGCATCCATTGCTCCTGTGGGGCCAAAGAGAACAAACAAATCCAAACCCATATTCAAATGCGTCCTTGAAGACAGCTAAAATGTTCTCTTCCCTCCTCCCCTTCCTTCTCCATGCGAAACACCCCATTTTCTTCAAACTGATCCTCTGAGCTCAAGGAGCTTCAAGATCCTGACAGTCCCCCTTGGCACAATATCCAGATTATCTGGACAGTAGTTTCACAAGTATAGGGAACCCTGGGATAAGAAAACACCATCTGCCAATGCAGGTTGGCACTTAACTTCTAGAGCCCCTAGAAGTTAAGTGACTTGCTTAGGGCCACACAGCTAGTATTTTTCAGAAGTGGGAGGCAAGCTCTCTATCCACTGCGGAAAAACTGCTTCTTTTTTTCTTTCTTTTTTTTTTTTCCTGAGGCAATTGGGGTTGTGACTTGTCCAGAGTCACACAGCTAATAAGAGTCAAGTGTTGGAGGTCAAATTTGAACTGAGGTTCTCATGACTCCAGGGCTGGTGCTCTATTTACTTCGCCACCTAGCTGCCCCTGCTTCATTTTCAACTACCATAAAATGAAAAAAAATAATGGAGTGAATTCAACAACTCAGATGTTTGTATTCTTCCCCTCTATGGTGTCAATATTACGGCTCAGAGAGATAGAGATGAGGCCACTCTTTGTCATAACTGTCTTCCTTGTTACCAAGTATGTGTCAGAGAGTCAACTTGGACCCAGTTCTCCTGGACTTTGAGGCTAGCTCTATCTGCTGCCCTCTCTTATCAATTACCTTCCTAAAAATGAGGTGCCAGAAATGAACACAATACTTCAGTAGTAGTCTGAAAGGCAGCGGGCAGCAGGACTAGCTAACCTGTCCATCTAATTCAGCAAACCTTTATAAAGTACCTAATATTTGTGCTCAGCAAAAGTGAGAAGGTCCATAAAGGAAAAAAGCAGCACAGTCTCCCCACCCCAGCTCTAGCAATGAAAGAGTGAGGATCTGACATGTCTATATAGATCAGTATGTTTGCTGTTGTTGTGGTTGTTTGTACTTCATTCTCAAAGAGGACCATGATATTAGGAAGGTGATGCCATGACATGCAAGTGAACTGGATTTAAGTGAGGGAGGACTGTGAAAGTTCACCAGCCTCACTTTCTCCTCCTGAGCCATCTGGATCCAGTGGGCAGATATAGATCAGGATGACTGGAGGTAGCCCGGGATGCAATGGGAGACCGTGGCCTTTTTAAGATAAGATCTTTAAAGGTCTCAGTTTGACTGAGGCCATACCCATTCAGTGATTAAGATTAGGTAAGAAATGAGGCAGAGAGCTAAGAAAAAGGTCAGGAAAAGGGGGTTTGTCTTCAAGACAATTTCAATAGAAAGGAGGTGGGCAAAGGATCATAGATTTAGAGCTGGAAGGCACCTAAGATGCCATGAAGTCCAATGCCCCCATTTTGCAGATGAGGGAACTGAGGCCCAGAGAGGTTTGGTGACTTAAGCAGCATTACACAGAGAAGAGTCTGAGAGCTTCCGGACCACAGGCTCCTCACTCTATTTCAGCACATTGCCCCTCAAAAGGAAAGGGGATTAAGAAAGGAATTACTTAATCTAGAAGAGGTGGGTATGGTTCCTCTCTCCCCTATTCCTAATGGCTGAGGACAAAGGCATCAGCAAAATGTACTTTTAAAAAGGAGAAAAAATAAAACTGTGGATGACAGGGTAAAACTGGTGTGGACCCTCGGTAGTCAATGACGAGGAAGGGAGGAGGGAATCTCTTCTAAACTTTGTACCATGTACCATGCCACACAGGGCTCTGAAGATAGGATAATAGCTCATATATCCATAAGTTGTTTGAGGTTTACAGGGTACGTCCTCCCCCCCACCCCTGAACACAATGCAATGGGTTAAACAGTTCTAGTGTTATCCCATTTTATAATGAAGAAATTGAGTCTCAGGGGCTAAATGACTCACCTAGGGTCACATAGTTTGGAGGTAAGAGCCAAATCTGATTCTCTGCCTCTCAATCCATTGCTCTTGTTCAACCATGCCTCAATTTAGATATTTGAATGTTTGCTGCTTTTGTCAAATGCATTGACCTTTTAATCTGACTTTGAGGGTTAGCGTGAGGTAGTGGAGAAATGAGTCTTAGTGGTTCTGTTATTCTCTGCAGTTACTCTATGCTACTCTGCTACTAACTTTCTGTGTTACTTTGGACAAATGATTTCCCCTTTCTGTGACTTAGTTTCCTATTCTCAAAGATCAGCAAGTCAGACTAGACATTCTCAAGTCCATCCCAACTTTAAAACTCTATGGATGAGTCTGTGATTTCACAATTTGGGCCAACGTCAGTTTTCTATTCCTAAGACTCCCATGAAATCAGTCTTCTGTGAAGATTGATGAATTTTGCAAAGCGTAAGACCTGGAAATGGAATAATTTCTCTGTGGAATTTGCACATTCAAACCCATGGGCACATTGAAATGCAGTCTTAAAAGGTGAACAATATCCCCTGTCCATCTGGCAAATAAAGTAATCTGCTAGTTTTCCCTTCCAGTCTGAGATGCAGGACACCAGAAAGATCAGGGAATTAAGATCAAATAAATGGTTTTTACATTTAACAAAGGCCAGAAAGGTTACCCAAGCTGATTTTTTAAAAAGCAGAATTTGTGGTTGTAGCAGCAAGATGTTGAAATGTTGGCTCCTCTTAAAAAATAACATCCCAGCCCCATGACTCAGCAAGTGCTCACTCGGGCTTCAGGAAACTGAAGACTTATTATTTCTCCTGTGCTCAAAGCAAGCCCTAGGGGCCCATGCTGAGATGGTTTCAAATATTCTTTTCTCCTTTTATAGTGCATCCAAAAAGAAAAAAGAGAGAGAGAAGTAGGGTGGAAAAGAGACATCAAGGTATGATACAAGGAAGCCTGCCCTGGAAGAACCAGTTAATTCCAGCAGGAAACAACAGTACAGAACAAGATGAGCTCCAGACAGCTACAGTAGCAAGCTTCTTGGATACTTTACACCACACTCAGAGTCATAACAAACTTTGCCCCTCGAACTCTCACTCTCTGGCTCTCTGTTGTTAATGATTGGAGGATACGTCCTCAAACCTTGTCTGAAATCCAGCGGGGTGCCACATAGTCTTACTATCTCCCCAGGCATCTGGGTGCTGAGAGTCCTGGAACTCAGCCAGTGGCTGAGAGTGGGACACGCCCCACTCTGAAGCACAGACTAGATTCACCCAGTGCCCCGAATGAGTGAGGAAAAACTCACAAGATCAGATTAAAGGCTGAATGGCTTTTTGGCAATTACTAAATGGAATTCTTCTCCAGTACAAAAGCATTTTGGACAGTGATTTATTCTGGGGTCTGTGAATTTTTTTTTTAATATTTTGATAAGTGTATTTCAAGCTAATTGGTATTCTTTGCAATCTAGTGTGTTTTATTTGAAAATATTATTCTACGCTATAGGAAATGATGAGCAGGATGCTCTTAGAGAAACCTGGAATGAGTTATATGAGCTGATGCAAAGTGAAATGTACTGTGTACAAAGTAATAGCAATATTGTAGCATGATCAGCTGTGAATGAGTTAGCTATTCTCAGCAATCCAAGACAGTTCTGAAGGATTTATGATGAAAAATGATATCCATTCCCAGAC